GAGACTCGTGCGGTCATAAAATACCTGACGAAAAAAGGGTTGACCGCATCTCAAATCAAAGCTGACATGGATGAAGTTTTGGGAGAGTCTGCTCCTTCGTACACCACTGTGAAAAAATGGACAGTCCTTTTTAAATCTGGCAGAGAGAGTGTGGAAGATGACCCTTGCAGCGGACGGCCGCCAACTGCTGTCACTGAAGAACATATCGACAAAGTTCACGATTTGGTATTAGCAGATCGCCATTTGAAAATGCGTGAGATAGCTGAGACAACAGGCATCTCTGTCAACCTAGTGCACCACATTCTAACCGAAAATTTGGGTATGATGAAGGTCTCAGCAAGGTGGGTGCCGCGTCTGCTGACTGCTGAGCAAAAACGTGTTCGCACTTTGATGTCAAAGGAGTGTTTGGACTTTACCAGAAAAACCCATAGGATTTCTTGCATCGGTTTGTGACTACTGACGAAAAGTGGATCCATTACTACACTCCTGAAACAAAAGAACAGTCGAAGCAATGGAAACACCACAGTTCGCCACCACCACCAAAGAAGGCAAAGACAGTTCCATCAGCAGGGAAAGTGATGGCCTTGGTTTTTTGGGATGCTAAAGGCATCATCTTTATTGACTATCTAGAAAGAGGAAAGACCGTTAATGCTGTCTATTACTGTGAACTTTTGGAAAAAGTGAAGAAAGAAATCGAAGAAAAGAGGCCACACTTGAAGAAGAAAAAGGTTCTGTTCCACCACGATAATGCACCTGCACATTCCACCAGAATCACTGAACAAAAGGTAAACAAACTTCGCTTCCAATTAGTTCCACATCAACCATACTCACCTGAGTTGGTCCCCAGTGCCTTCTACCTTTTTTCAAACCTAAAAAAGTTCTTGGCTGGAAAGAGATTCCACTCAAATGACAAAATCATCTCTGAAGTGAATGAGTATTTTGCACACCTTGACAAATCGACATATTGTGATGGCACAAAAAAGCTAGAACATTGCTGGAATAAGTGCATTGCTAACAAAGGAGACTACATTGAAAAATAAAAAAAGTTTTAACATTACTTTGTTTGTTGTTCTATTTGAGGCCGTGAACTTTCCAAACAGCCCTCATATTATTATCTGAGTTTGTTTTACAAAGTGTTCATATTATATATTTTAATACATATGCCTATTGTGAACCAGAAGGGAGGTCAGAAGACGCTGCCTCTGTCACAAGTCAGGATGATACATCAGGCGAGTGAAGGGAGAGTTGCTAGAGGTCGACGATAAGGTGAAGGGCGTGATCGAGTAAAANTATATTTTGTATTATTTAGATTACGTCAATCATTTTAAATTATAATATAAAATGAATAAAAGTTTTAAATCTTTCGTGGACCACTGATTGGGAATCGCTGCTCCAAAGCAAGAACTAATCGGTCATTTTTATAGTGATTTTTGAATTCAGCAGATGAAAATACATAAGAATATGCTAATTTTGAGTCCAAAACAAAATCATTGTTGTCCAGTGTTACCTACAGAATTTTATTGAAGTTTTTAAGATAATTTTGAGGAAAAATCTTAAGAAATTTCTTGTACATACGAAACCTGTCATTATAATTAATTATATTTCATCAATTATTTCAAGAGTTAACTATTAATAGTTATAGAATTGGTTTTCCTATCTATATTCTCTTAGTAATGCTAAAAATTATTTTCAGCAAGTTGGTTACAATTATGGAAAGAAATATTTTGCAGAAAATAATGGAAAATATAATAAAGATAACTATGGATCATTTTATGAATTAAATATGGTATGTATTTTTAAATTAAATATTAAACAAGATTCATAAAAAAATCTTTGAAAAATTAATTCAGATGATAATAAATGTTAATTGTAAATGATCATAAATTATATTTTTACAAACAAATGCATGTTTTATATTTTAAGATCTCATGAGTTGAGTGGTCACTAAATGGAGGTTCATTAAACAATACATAAGATTTTGTAAAAAAAATGCAAATTGAATTTAATAAGAATGGCAACTGATAAGAATTCTGACTACTCAAAAATATAAAAATTACAACTATGTTTATGAAATTTAACTGTAAAACTCCCTGCTGTTTGACGTTATTGATTGTTCAAATTAAATAACAATAAACAATACCAAATTTATCAGCTTTACACTTTTCACTAATTCAGCTATTTTTTAAAAACTCTCCCATTATTTATTATTTAAATTATGCCTAAAAATATGCACTAAAAATTATTTATAAACTCTCCCAGCATAAATAAATGCAAAATTTTGAGATTAAAAAAAAATTGTAAAAATTTACATTTTGTTTCCATTACATGATGAAGGGTAGTATAATCAGCACAAGGTTTTTCTTTACGTCCTGCTTTTAATCCACTTTTTTATTTGCCAATACCCGTTTCGGGCCTATGCCTCTAGCAACATTTTATATCCATTAAGACAAATATGTAACATCAAAAAAATCTTTGTAAATGCCAAATATCCTTGTATGGCATCCAGTGATGTGATACAAGGACCATTCATCAAAAATGAATATTTCTGCTTGAGCCAACTCACCGACATTTGAAGACCTACACAGAGATGACACACAGGGATAAGAGTTAAAGCCTGAGTTGCAATAGGAGGATAAAAATCTTTCATAATTTGAAATATTCTAATTCTATGATCTCAACTCACTTTGATCTCAATTTACCTACAGTCTGGATTGTAACTGTCGCCAGATGAATGTCGAGGTGTTCGCACAGGCAATCCACTTGAGAAGAACCTGGCTATTACGTGCAATGATAAAACTGACATAACTATGTGACAAGTCACAAACACCAACAACAAAATGGAAGTTTTGGTTAGAAATACATACTTTTTCTTGCCATATATCTAATAATAGACAGATATTATCATCTCTCTGGATGTCTTTATTTCTCTGTTGATAGCCCGACACGTGTTCTGCAGCCATCTAGTATTTTCTTGTGCGCACGGGATTGTGGGATCTCTCTTATGACTGGATCTAGTTTCAAGAACTCTTGAGTCGATCACGATTGAACCTCGCTTCAGTTGAGATTGAAATGGTTGAGAGAGGTCGCACCATGGCATAGTTGCCGACCTTGGTCACAATCTAGATTGAAATGCTCAGTGCAAAAGGGGTATAAGGGTTCAAACTAAAGTTTTGTATTAAAAAAAAAAAAACCGGGAAGGGAGTGAGAGCTGACCCAAGAACATCATTGAAACCAAGAGTTGACCAATTCTTTGAACATCCATTGTTGCCCACCAGTTAACCAATGCCTTAGTCATAATCCATTTCTATCAACCATAAACTTGCAATTAGATAAGATTTGCAAGATATAAAGACTTGGACAATCCATTTGATCATCCTCATTGTCATACTTTTATTAAATCAGACATAAACTTTCTCTATATTATTATAAACTCACTCTCTCTCACATGTTTGATTGAGAAGTTTTTTATTTACTCTACAAAAATACACTAAGAGATTTAAGTGTGTGAAACCACTCTGTATCAAAACTCATGCAACACAAACCAGTCTTTACTCTTTTTGATAAACTTTTCAACAAGAATAGATGTCTCTAGTCTTGCAAAGGATTTTGGGACATTGGGCAGAACAACTAATGTGCATTATTTTATCAGCATGCAACAGTGGCAGCTCATAGCTATCTAATATGAGGTGCCAGGTAACTACTACTTCACATAACAAACTACAAATTATATATATATATATATATATATATCACAAAATAGTCTTAAATTTTATTACATAGTACTTATATATATATGTAATAAAGTGCTATGTAATAAAATTTAAGAGACTATTTTGTGATTTTATTTTTCTTTGAGTGTGTTGCAATTCTGCAATACTTATCACAAGCTGATGTTGGTTTGTAGTCATAGAATATCCAGGTATACAAGATTCATAATTAAGTAAACAAACAAATCTTCAAATTTAAGCACAATTAATGTCAGAAGATGGAATATAGACATTGGCAATAACAATGAAAATTATTAAATAAATATGACAAAGTGTTTTTCAAATGCATTTTGTAAAAATTTAAAGAATAAACTTTCATAAACAATTATAAAAATAGAGTCATCAGATGTAACTGGAAAATGTAAGGAATAGAACATTTTCACAATTTAGAGGGGGGAGAGAGAGCAAGAATTATTATTTAAAATATCTGGTACATGTTCAATAAGTGGTTGCCAAGCACTTATATTTGAATGTTTTTAGTTAGAGCTATTGAAAAAGTGATCTTTTAATTAAGTTTTATTATATTTTGTTATAATTTTACAAATTTTAAATTTTAATTCTTTTTAGGCATCGAAAGACATTCGTCATGACATAATCATTGATTTAACTCAAATGATATTAAAAGTTCAACTGTCAAAACAACCTTCTGATCGTAAGTAAACTATGGTTAATTCTGAAATATCTGATGATAAATATACACAGTCAGTTACCAAAATTTATTCCAAATTTCTCTAAACCAAAGTTGAAATCAGTTATTCTGTAACTTTTGTTTTTTAGTAAACATTAAATAACATGTTTCCTGTGGTATATTCCAGGTAAAAGTATTGTTTTTTTGCCATACAGACTAGTAACTTATGCAAATATCTCCTTTGTATTCATTTTTTAGCTGGAATATATGAAAGATTACACATCTATTTCATAGCAACCAATTGTGTCCTGTAAACAAAATGTTTTTCTTCCTCACCAAAGGAAATAAATAGATTAGAATGATTTAGTTATCAAGAATGTCCTAAATGGAATGGAGATTGGCTGGAATTATTCACTCATATGTCAACAGAACATTTTTAATATTCAATAGAATTCCAACACAGTTTCATCAATACATTTTAAAACAATAGATTACAAGTATTTATAAAGAATTTTCTATGTACTAGGTACTTGAATGAAAAACAACAGAAAAATTGTAGCGATATTACTAAACATTTAACATTTTATTAGTGGATAACTTATATAAGCTATCCAATTATTGTTCTGTATGATGTATTGTACCCAACACAAAAAGTTTTAGTCAGTCAGCACTTTAATTTCAACATAGATAATTTAATTGGTCGAATGTTCTATGATGTTATTCCATAAATTTGTTTATATATAAAATCATATAAAATTTTGAAAGAACTAGCATGTGTTTTATTAATCTAATTTTCCTATGTCAGTTTAAAAAATGATAGGTGGCTACAACTTTATATCAGGTGTAGTACATTAGGAGCCGTCCATAAATTACATAAGGTATTTTAGGGTGGGTGGGGGTCAAGGATTTCTTACACTATCTTACTCAGGGGTAGAGGGTAATAATCTTGTCTTATGTAATAATCTATTTTTATTTTTTGATCTTGTTGAGTGGTGGCGTTTTGAATTTGGCTTCAATTTGGTGGTTTCTATTAAGAACACTTGTCTCGTGACGTGATAGAGTAATAACACTAGCAGATTCACACTACACATTTTTTCTCATGGGAGAAACGCCATGTGGTGGTTTGCCTCTCTTGTTTTTTATTACAATAAGTGCACCACTCTTATGGGTGTATAACACTAAGAATACATAAACCAAAATACACGATACAAAATAAACATAAAATTAGTATTCGGCTTTCAGTGAAAACTAAAATGTAAAACTAGAAATTATAAATACAGTAGAGCGTCGTTTATCCGAATCAATTGGGGACTGGGGTTTTTCAGATAACCAATTATGTACGAAAAAATATATTAATTTATCCCGTGTTGAAATTCTTCTCCATTGCGTGTCACTTCGCGTTGAATTTTCATCGATGTTAAGCCTAACGAAGACTATTGTATCGTTAAAAATTATTTTTTTATTTTGTACAAACAAAATAAATATATTGAAAAATATAAAAACAATAAAAAATTATACTTCAGAAGTTAATTTAGTATCAAAAACGTAAAATATTTGAGTAGCCGAAGACATAGCCAAAGATTACAGTGCCACAGCACTGGTGAAAATTTAAATTTGTCGACTGGAATTCCTTCGGATAAACGACGCTCTACTGTAGTCTTTTCTTCCATATTTTTTGAATATAATTGTAAAAAACATGAAACAGTGGTTTCTGAACAAGCTTATCGAGTGGACATGGCCACTTGAAACCAAGCGTAAAAATTTCTAATTTCAGAATAAGTCTATCTTGATCGTAAATTGGACAATGATAGATATGGTCAATGGTGTCTAGGTTTTCTGTAGAGCAAAAGCAAGAAGCAATTTCTACCTGGTTATACATCGCCATGTATCTTCTAAAATTACCATGCTCAGTAGCAAATGTTAAATCTAAGTAGTGATGAGAACCTACATTCAACACTAAGAAAATAGTCTTGTTATTCTACNAATAATACAGGTTTCAATAATGCGTAACGAATCCTCTGCTTTGTACGGGACTCTACTGTAATAAGAAACAGTTTTATTTAATATAGTACACTTGTTTTAAGTTTAAATTTAATTTATTTAAATTGAATATTGTTTTATAGAAAGATTTTAATTTAATCTATCTCCTACTACAATTTTAGTAATTATATTTACATTTCTTATTGTTCTGAAATTTTTTTATAGATGAAGGTGAAACTTTGAACAGGCTTTATTTCAGAAATCTGTTGACATTTAATAAAAGACTGTTTATAAAATATTCATAGTTTGTTTTGTTTTCTTTTGATTCTTAAGTTCAAACTATCCAGGAAGAATAGGAATCTTGTATTTACATGCACAAATGCAAGAGACAAAGATGTCAAAGAATTATGATGCTGTTTAACCATTTTTGGATTTCCAGTAAACACTTATAAGCCAATCTTTTGTTTTCAAAACTTTCAATTTAGCTTTAGATATAACTTAAATAATCAAAACAACAATTAATTTTAATGCTTCCCATTGTGACAGAGGAGTTTAAGTAAAAAATTGTGTGTCATCTGAACTAGTGACAGAAAGCATGAGTTAACTAGAAAAACCTTTTATTTACTATTATATACAAAGCAGCCAGGAAAGTATTACTCTGCTGGCCATCTAAAATGCAACACCCTGAAGGAAGCATACAAATCAAGTAAAATTTGCACCATGCATTTGTGGCGANGCTGGTAAGGATGGGCCTGGCTTTAAAAAATTGTCCACCGTTGTTTGTCTTGCCTTCTTGTCTATTTCGTTCTTCAGTAATAAATATGTACATAAAACACTCACAGGCAAGTCTAAACCAGCCGCTTTATGAGCACACACTGAATAACGCTCGTAAACAAGAGGAAATAGAAAAGAGTGTGCATCAAAATTGTGCTTGCGCAAGATTGGCAACATGTAGATATATCGACATCGAAAAAAAGTTTTTTTTTTGCCGTTATAGCGAAACATTTTAAGCCATAAATCGAAAACGTGCCTTAATCGAAGAGGGCCGTTATAGCGAAATGCCGTATAAAGAGCGGCCGTATAGCGAGGTATGGGTGTATAAAAGTTATCTTGTTTACAAGATTTTTAATATGGTGCTGGATATATGCAATTTTATTGCTATTGCAATTGGGATTTAACAGAGCTTTCAAGACAGACAGAATCACTGTAAATGTTGATAGACAGAGTTTAGTTTGGTAGTGAAGTGGCCCACTGAACAGCTTGGTAGTCAGCATCATCTTCAGCTTGATAGATGGAGGTATGTGGGAGGTATCTGTACCTTCTAACATATATTTTGCCAAAAATATGTCAGTTTGGAGGAAGATACAGAAGGGAGCTTTTGGACCCATCTGTGTAGATATTAATGATTATCCATGGAGGAAGCAGATGACACCAAATAACCTTGTTTATAGGATGATGATCAGCAAAGATAGTAAGGTAATTGCAATGTGCTAGTATTTGAACAGCCGTAGATAGGAGTAGAGACCATTGTTGAGCCTTGATGTTTGTAGTTCTGATGTAGTAGTTTAGAACCTTTTCTACAATACATAGTGGCAAAGGAAGGATCTATACTAGTATCAGAGGGATTAGTAAAAACAATTATGCAGCACTTTGAAATTCTGAAGGCAAACTGGCTTTGAAGAGAGAGTAATTTACTTGCTACTGATTTTTACTACTTACATGACCACAGCCAGAGGCCACGTAAAGTAGCATTGGTTGTATTGCCCCATTATATAGAGTTTTATAAGCTTTATTATTTAGTCCCCAGGTGCACCTAGCACATTTTAGCAGCATGTAGTTTATTTTCTTGGCCTTAGCCAAGATGTAATCAATATGGCAACGGAATATAGTTTCTTTCTATTCTCTCTTGTTTTATCTTGTATGATGTTTCTTTTACACATGCTCAAGCTAGTCGATCTGACAAAGTTTTTTGCGTCTTTTGCGAACATTAAAATTAATATAAAAACAATTATAATGACGTTGATTAATGATGATGATAATAATAATAATATTGTTAATAATTAAAAAATAAAGTTCTTAAAATAAATTGTTCATTCGAATTCATTAAATTTTTATATTTTAAAATGTGTTCACATAAAGTCTTTTATAAATATTAGTACATATTAATTAACTAGTTAATAATTATATATTTTGGACCTAAGGTGTTTAGGGTTTCATTAAAAACATTTTTTTGGTTAATTTAAAATCTTTCTATAAAATCATGCCAAAATATTACGTAAGATAGGAAGGGGAGGGGGGATAAAAAGAAAATATTACTTTTTCTTACACAGGGGTGGGTGGGGGTCTAGAATGGCCGAAATCGCCCTTACGTAATTTATGGACGGCCCCT